TCCTGTTATATGACAGCTGCACAAAAAATGAAATTGACACTATGGGGGCAGTCAAATATTACAAAAGCGCCTAAATGGAGGAAGAAGAAAAAAAAGATGCGTAAACATTTTCTCTGTGCAAAAATACATTTTTTATTTAAATTTAGATATTAAAATTCTTACAATTGGATTACTACAGTAAAAATCAAAGTAAAAGAAGGGACTTAGTGGCGTCTTTCTTAATCAAGTACAGGAAAATAATTGCTTATTTTTGCTGACAATGGGGAAGTCCAAAACATGATTACGTAATATTTAAATGAACGGAGGAACTAAGAGTGGCAATACTTCGATTGTCATCCTGCCTACACAATAAAGACAAAATTTTACAGAATGTGGCCACCCCATATTTTTAAAAATGTTTGTGTAAAGAAAATGCATTGTCTGATTTTGAAGCTTAACGCGTTGAATGCCACGCTTTTTTTACATGGCTTGCCCGTCTGGCCAAAATGATTTTCTCAATGTGTATTGCATTAATTTCTTTAAACTATTTTAGTAACGATAATAATATAAAAAAATTAAAAATTTACTACGAACAAACTCAGTGCCGGTCACCCCCATGGCATTAACGTGTTAATTATTAGTTAGCACTATTAATTAGCATATTTAAAGGGATTAAAATTCGTTGTAAGACCTATGGTGTTATCTATTATAAAAACTTTACTTACTACATTGCAATTATAATTAGCACTCCAAGCGAAAATAACTGCATTGCTTTCAATAAATTTGCATCTGAATAGCTTTGGTATTCATCACCGACCTCTAACTATACTATTAGCGATTGAAATGGGCTACAGGTGGAGCAGAGCTAATCTCTCTACATCAGGGGTTTCCAACTGGCAGCCCGCGAAGCCTTTTATTCTGGCCCGCGAACTAAAATGTATTACTAGTTGTCATTTTTTTGCGGACAATTTTCTGAATAAGAATCTAAGAAATCTATATGGGTTTAAAATACTTTTCTCCTAAAACCTAATTTGTTCGTTTCTGTGAAATTTAACATACCAACGGTGCAAATATTTTTTGGGTTCTCCGATTTAACTTTTTAAAACCACTCATTTTGGACGAAAATATTTACACACACATTTGTAAATTTTAAATGTAAATATCTATTCTCTGGTGGTTGCAGAAGACAAGTCTCATTTTTCTCATTGAATATTTTGTGTGTTACTATGTAAGTTTTAATACTAACCTTTTAAAAGCTTTATATCTTAATAATTAGATATCTGTTGCACATAATTTGTTTAATAGACATGTGCACATTAAAGTTATTGTAGCCCGAATTTTTAAAAATATTATTAATAACAATTAAATATTTTTACAACTCTACTTCTTATTTTAATTTGTAATTCAATACCTTTGTTTTGTACAACATGATAAGAGTCCGACAGTAATCAAAGACGCAATTAGCTGCACAACTTGCAATTACAATCAAATTTTTCGACTTTGAGCTACTACTCAGCGACAATACTAACTACAGTCCGGCAACGGCGTTCTATCCAAACGCTTCACTACTTAAACTGTAAATATTTCCCCACCCAATGAAGTCCGCAAGGGGGGAGGCGAGGCAGGCAGGAGTTGAGGCTTTACTTCTCAAATTTTTTTGTAAATATTATTGTATATATTCCTTCCCTTTGCTTTATTATCTCACTGTGTATTTTATTATTATATACCCCTCTGACTTGAGCTTCGGCTACACTTTATTTTTCTGTAACACCACTTAGATGAATGAGTTAGGGCCCCTGACGCGACTTTACACATTGTCGACTCCCGGGCACTTCTTTGGCACCGTAATTTGAAATTCGCCAATGTTACATTCGCCAAGTCGGGTTTCAAATTTTCCTGCGAAAATCTTCGAATATTAATTCGCGCATGTTTCACTTGCGACATATGATTTAAAAAACGCATGAGTGAACAAATTTATAAATAATGTGAATAAATTTAGCTGCTTTAAAAGTTTTTGTGTATTATCATTCTCTTTTTATTCGGACTTCCTGAAACACATACAGTAAAACCTTTTTTTGTGCGGTGGATAGGGACCGCATAAAAGAAATCGCACAAAAAAAAATTCGAAAATTTTATAAATTCTGACATGTAATAAACAAGTTTGTACCATATACCACCAAAAACTTTTTTTATGCGGTTGATAGGGACCGCATAAAAAAAGTCGGACTCAGAAAATACATCAATGATTTATGAAATAGATAAGAGAATGCTTTCAATAAAATTAAATAATTAAATTAGACCTAAAGAAATTTTAAAAATATTTAATTCTTCATTGTACATATACATGTAGAAGTTTTCAAATTATACATTAAATAGTTTGCTGCTACTCGTCGTAATCCAAAACGCGCATCTTCTTGGAATGAATTGGTTGAAAATCGCT